TGCTCTTGAGATAAGTATCATTTATCCTTTTCTGTGTCCTGAGTTTGTGGTAGTGTTCTGTTTGTTTGCTTAAAGCTTCAGGTGGGGTTTTTCAGTTTTTGGTTTTTTATTTTCCTTGAAGCTGTGTCCCCTGCCCCAACCTGGCCATCTTTTCAATTTTGACTGGATTAATTCAAATGAGCAACATACTCTATTTTCACTTGTTAGCTGAACAAAAGCTGAAAATCATGTGAGTAAAGGCTCTTCTGCCCAAAAGCATTTCATCCATTGTGAATGCTCACAGTAGTTTGAGAATACAAATAGCATAAAAATCATCAGTGTCAGTTGTTACGATCATGATATTACATGAAAAAAATCTGTTTCCTTTTATGTCAATAAAACTTAAGATCAAAGAGAAGAGTGCTGGTTGCCATTTTTTTAAAAATGTAAATTAAATAGTGTGTAGTACAGCAGTTGCCAAATGGGGCTATATGTTCTACAGCAAGCTGGTACACAAAAGTTTCCCAGGCAAGCCTTGCTCATGCTCACACCTGGCAGCTGGCTCTGGATGATGTCATTACATGAGGAAAGTTTCTGTGATTCCAAGTTGGAATCTGTGTCATAGGTTTAGGCCATCATTTTGAAATTCTTAAAAACTGTTATAACTTTGAACATTTCAAACTTAGCTAAAAATATTAATTCTTTATTTGGATTTAAAAGTATGTTTACTATATGCATCTAGAGGGACATCACAGATTTTGTCTAGTTATAAGTAAGTTATATAAGTAACAATACATTATTTATCCAATATAGAGTAAGAAACTAAAAATTATTTTTTTGAGACACCTTAATGTTTTTGTGGAATTTTATTTGTAAATAAACCTCCTTGTATTGCAGAAAACAAGCACTGATCCCCTTTGTACCAGAGGGTGTGTGTGTGTTCTGTTAGGACCCTGTGTGCAGGCATGTGAGTGGCTCACAGGGTAACAGCACTGTAGACTGAAAAAGCCAAAGTCTAAACTTGAGCTTTATTTCCTGAGAAGTAAGGACAAGCGATTTTGTTGCCCTATAACTTTTTTTTCCTATCTGAAAACCTTACGTTTATTTTTTACTTTTTATATGTTACAAAAAAATCACTGATGATGTCTGCTAATCCCACAAAACAACGTATTAAAAATAGAGTAGAACGGCAGTCACTGTTAGCTTCATTTTTGGCTTACCAGATGATATGAATTTCTTGCTACATAAAACAAGCAAAGTAAAGAATTGCTTAGAGAATTAAGACTTTTGGCAGAAATTGTACACGCAGAATTAATGTTTTCATTCCTATGGCATGGTTTCAGTTTGTAGCCTTTTTTGTTTATTTTATTTTTAATTCTTGTTGTTTCATTCCTTTGTTTTAAGGAAAGGTGGTGGAATCCTGAGGACTTTAATTTAACATGACACCTATATATTTGTAGTTGAGCCAGTAATATAAAAGCTGAACTAAATTTAAGTCTAAACTTTCATATGTATTTCTCAAATATTAAGTTAGCCATGTATTCTGTGTTTTCTTTAGTGGCATTTCATATGCGGGTGTGAATACTTCTTTAGTTGCCAAGATAAGTGAATGCTATTATGATGGCAAAATGAAACTCGTGGTGCTGTTTTCCCAGCAGACTCTATGAAGTACTTGCCTTACTTAACATAACAACAAAAAAACCAAAACCCCCTAAAACTTAACAAAACAACAAAAAAACCAACCCCCTTTAAAACAGTGGTGTGGGTTTTTTTTTTTTTTAAGAAACAGATGAGAGCACTGAAATACACAATGCAGAATGAAACTCGGTGTTTTACCCTTATTTAAGATGCTTGGTCTCAAGATGTTGCATAGGACATAGTATGTTTTTTTCAGCCTCTGGTATAATATGTGGTCACAATAAAGTGTATTTTTAGTTTCCTGTAGTTAAGTTTTGTAGAACATTATTGTAGCTTAGGGGATCTTTGTAAATGTTTGTAGTAAACAAGGTGGGAGGTAGATTGAGAAAGATGCAACCAGAATATTTATAATAAAGCACAACTAGTTGGGTGGTGTGGTGGGTTTGGTTTTTTTTTTTTGTTTTTTTTTTGTTTGTAATTACTGTGTTTCTCTTGATAGGACTTGTGAAACATGTAGGTTGTGAAATTGGGAGGGGGAAGCACATGTTCAAAAGGGTCACGATAATATGGACAAAAGTAGGAATAGTTGACTGCATGGATCGGCTCCTGTTTTCTGAGATGTTTGATCATGGCAAAAAAAAGCCCTAATAAAAAACCCCACAGTATTGCTTAGTATTTGTAAAAGACTCTAGAAATCATTTTGAAGCTTATGTATCTTGTCCTAGTTTTCATACGTGTCTGCATTGAAGTGGTGTACATCCTGAGTCAAGGGAGGGCAAGTAGGAAAGCTGTTGATCAATATAAAAAGCGGAGAGACAATTTTAATTATTAACAGTTTCTGAGCCTATCCTTCAGTTCTACAGTGTTGGAAATAACAGGAAATAAAACTCGCTGGAAGTCAGATAACTTTTTTTAAAGTTTCTAGCTTTTTCTAGACTTGGTAAATACCAGATGCATTGTATCACAGCCTGTGAAGATTACACCAAAGCCTGGACTAAAAGGCAAAAGACTTAAATGCTCTGAAAAGAAACTGGATATGATGATATACTGAAGTGTGTGTATATAAGGATGTGTGTATCTGAGAGGGTGAAAATTAGGCTTTCACTAATTCTTCTAGGTGATAAGCCATATAAAACTTTGTTTAAAGTATACGCTTGGGTTGTAAATCCGGTTTTGCTCTAACAGCGAGACAACCAGGCTGTTTCAACTTCATTGTTACATTGCCAAGCTAGTTAAAATAGAAGTCTGTCTTTTTTTTTTTTTCATGTCTGCTGAATGAAATTAATATTCAGGTAGCCTATTAGTCTGCAGCACCTGGTAAAAATGGCTATGCTTTTATGTCGGCTAACTCAGCACAAAGTTATCTTTGCTAAGAAAGCTGGACCTCAAGATAGTTCATTTGGTGCTGAATTATAAAGAAGTGGTTGCTTCTAATTTGCTCTTTTTATTAGGTGATGTTTGTTTTGAAGGTTGGTTTGTTTGTTTTAGCAAGGCAGCCTGAAGCATTGTGGCAGATCCATCAAAGATTTTTTTCCCAGCTGCCATTAACCCCACAGTTGGCTAACATGAGTCTTTCTGGTTCATTGTGGATAGGTTGACTTTGGTAGAGAAAATAGACTGTGTGCATCTTCATATTTTAAAAATTGCATGATATATTTGGATTGATTGAAATCTACTTGCATGCAAAGATTATGTTGACTATCACTTAATATACCAAAATAATAAGAAAAATGGCTGGGCAGTGTCTTCGTAAATTACAGGAGAGTCATGAATTGCAACTGCTTCACTGCTGAAATCTGGCAGGATCTTTTAGTAACCAAGAATACACAATGACAGATTTGAACATGATTGGTTAAAAAAAAAAAGTAAAGCCTGTTGACTGGAATATAACTCTTCATTTTCTGTTGTCAGCTCGCCTGGAGTCCTGATCTCAGACCAGGGTCCACTTGTGCGAGACATGTGACAGATTTACAACCTGTGTGTAATACAAGACAATAGATAGAGACAGATGACAAAGAACAGGAAAGAATATTGGTCAGTATTGCTTATATCAATAGGCAAAGGTTTAAACACTTTTAAGCCTGAAATATTTTTTCCTCTAGGCCTCAATGCAAGAAAATTTTGAGGAGGAGGAAGCAGTCTTCTATGGAGCTTATGGCCAGCTCCCTTAACACATGGGTGCAGTTTGGGGAGGTTTGGGAGCAGGAAAACGTTATTTGTTCAAACTATTGGAAGGACTCTGGATTCCTGGTGTCATAGGCTAATGAATGGACTGGCATTTTGGTACTGAAATGAGAGTAGTAGGTTGTCAGGACTTTGAAAGTGAAGATGATGCTGATTTGTTCTGCTGTGGTATAGAAGCAAGAGCCAATGTGGGGGAACAAAGAGAGGGAAAGTACTTTTCTCAAGTGCATCAGCTGAATTCTCATATCGATCTCAAATGATGAAATGGAAGGTTTCAGTATGTATACTTTAAAGCCAGGGAAAGCCTTTTTATTATCTGGTTTTGGTGATGTGTTTGTGTGTGTACGTGTATGTTGCAAGCTAGTTTTGCCCAGTTACAGTTGCTTGAGTTTAATTAGAACAGGTAATGGGTGAGATCAAGGGACTGAGATGACCCTTTGACTGTATCTGGACATTAAATCAGCTCCACTGTGTCATGAAGCTGCAATTTAAATTTTTAGTACCACAGAAAACCAAAAAGGCTATTGCTGTGGTTTGTAGTTATTTTGAGAGCTGAGAACGTGAAAAATGTCGAGATAATCAGGATTCTAAAAGGTGACAAAAATGTGGGTGGTTCTAAGGAACCTGATTTGGGCGAAGTTACTTCCTGTATCCAGATCTGATGATCACTTAGACTTTGAACTGGCAGTTAGGACACATAATCAACTTTCTAGAAAAGATGATCTGTACCACTGAAAACTGGTTAACTCTCTACGTTCCTTAGTTAGGATTTTGGTTTTGGTCTTGCCATTTAAAGATGGTGTGTTACACCAGTGCCTGAGATCCTTCTAAAAATTTTATAGCCATTAAATGTTTTAATATGGTAGGTACTGTAAAACACTTCTGTCTAACCTACTTAGCCCTTTGTGATTCTTTGGAAGAAGAATGAATGAGTCTGAAAATTATTTTTAATTGTTAAGGCTTAGATGTCCCATGCTAACTTTTGCTTTAAGTTTGGTTAACTCCTAAGTGAAAAAGGGGATTTGCTTTTTTGCGTGCTCTCCCATGAGCGATGCTGATGGGGTCTTCATGCTTTCTTGTTCAGAACAAGAAACCGATGATTTGACAAGGAGAATTCCTCAAACGTGATGTTTAGGCTTGTAACTGAGTTTAAAATTGTTGAAAACTTTATGGTCTAATATTATTTTCCTTATTTTCAGATTAACTGCTGAAGTACTGATCGAGTTCTGCTATTCTTCAATGAGGAACTACAGGCTGATCTTTTGCCATAATCTTAAACAACCATAAATGACAAAAGAATGCTTGGTCAGTGAGGGCAGCTGGCGCAGAAAACGTTTTTCAAACTCGGCTGTTTAAGTACTCTGAGGTAGGTTTCTTAAACTACTTTACTCGGGCTATTAAAAAAAAAAAAGGAAGTATGGATTTCAGTATGCATAATCTATTAGAATTTATCAAGCCATTAGTAAACAGAGAATTAAGTTTGGTTACAGTGCTTTAACTAACAGCATGTACTTTATGTTCTATGTGCCATCCTCTATGAAAGTGATTGCTTGCATTCAAGCAAGTACGGGGTTTTTTTTACTATTTATTTTGAAAAGACTTTTTTTTTCTTTGCTAGAAGAAATATTTTGACAGGATAACAGTTTAACTGAGTGACTTATACTGCCTTTGGTAGTACCTTTTTTATCTATTTAGATCCTTTATCAAGCAAAGACTTGCAAGTAAAGCTTGAGCTTCTGCATGATAGGAAGAATGGTATCACTGAGCATCTAGAAACTAGTTTCGGGGGTTTTATTTTCAGTAAAATTTTTAATTTGATGCAGGTGTTGAAAGCTTTATTGTGTAGACCAGAAAATGCCAAATATATTAGAATATGATTGCAGTGCAGTTGTGTATCACAAAATACTTAATCATTTCATGTATCTAAAACTTGGGGTTTTGGTTTGGTATGATCCACTAGTTTCATTTCCTCTCAAGAGGCTTTTGTGTTGGATTTTCAAAGCCTGACTGATTACTGTCAGAAAATGTACTGAAGAATCTAGCTCTCCCAAAGTACCTTAGAACTTAAGTAATAATGCTGTAACTAGAATTTTCTGAATTTCCTTTGCTGCTATATATGTTCTTCTCAGTCTTCTGTTGAGGATTGAACAGAACATCTCGGTAATAGTCATTTATCTAGTTAGCTGTATTTGGAGTCATTACAGAACTCTTAAATCAGTGAACTGATTGAGAAAGACTGGAGAGTATTTGCATTAGGTAATTAAAACACATTGTGTTACAGATCAATACATTCAACAGCGTACACTGAAGTATGATTTTTGGTTTTAATTCCTCTTATTTGACAGAAAAGACAGCTTTGATTTTTGGCTGCAAAAAGATATGAGGAAGAGCTCCTCCCCTTCCTTGAGTAACTGCAACTCTGTTCTTGCTAACAAAATATTTGGAATTCCACTTGATGAGCTGCAGCAAGAAGGGCAACCAGACAATGAAGTTCCATTCATAGTCCGCCATGTTGTGGACTATATTGAGGAACATGGTATGTATTGTCTTGCTGTACTCCTAAATAATATATTTCGCTTTTATTCTTACACAATAGATTGTGGTTTTTTGAGGAGTACGTGTTTTCTGAAGTTACTTATATTTAATTGGATGTGATTTGGTTGGTTTTTTGTTGTTTTTTCTTTTTTTTTTGGTGATACACACTTCCTTTCTCTACTCCTTCTGTTATGTTTGATTATCACTGTTTTCTAGCCAACACTAATGCAGTCAGCTCAGCAGAGTACTTCATAGGAAATGGTGTGTTTTAGGTACTGTTAATATTTACCTTATTATTGTATTGTCAGCTGGGCATAAGAATGTGTTTGCTGGGAAAAGGACTGCTGGAAGTCTTGCAAAACTGTTGTCCAGAAAGTGTTTCATTTAGTATGTTAATTATGCATATCTGATTATCAGTATTTTCTGATATATTTGTCCATACTAGATCTAAAAGTTTATTTTTGCAACTTCTTTCTAACTCAGGGGGTCTGGAACAAGAAGGACTTTTTCAAGTCAATGGGAATGCTGAGACAGTGGAGTGGCTTCGGCAACGATACGATAATGGAGAAGATGTGGACCTGGTTAAAGAAGCAGATGTACCCTCAGCTATTAGCCTTCTTAGATTTTTTCTTCAAGAACTTCCAGAGCCAGTTATCCCAGGCAGTTTGCACATACATTTGATGCAACTTTCTCAAGGTAATAATTATTTTTGATTCAGTGTTTTTATTTTATTATTTTAAGAGTAAAAACCAGTATTAAATTGAGATTTGCAGTGGCACTAGTGTGTCTTTGGTGTACTGTGTAATAATGTGTGTATCAGGAGGCATTCAAATATACCCAAATAAATAGGTCTTTTTTAGGAAACTTGGTCTGGGTTCAAAGACACAGTTTATCTATCATGCAGGAAAATAATGAAACTGCCACATACCATGCTGATTAGTTCTGAATATTCCATGTTCTTGTGCGTGAATACTGGGACATTGGTCAAAGCCACTAGAATCAAAGTTGTTTGACAGTTTCCCACCACTGATGCTTTAAAAGTGCTAGGGAATGCTTTTGTCTGTTTTTCTCTTATTTCCTCTGAATTTCACTTATCCTGCCTTTGCTTTCATGGCACTTAAAGCTTTTGTATACTAGAGAAGAGATCTCAAGCTGTATACTCATGTCATATTTGCTCTCCCACTGTGGACTTTTTCAGTTTAAAATTCGTTTGTAGGAGGGGAAAAAAAAAGTCATCAGCATATTGTTGTTGCTAAGTATGTTTTTTCATATACTGCAAAACTTTGCCCTTTCAAATTGACATCCGTATGCTGGCACAGTATTTTCTTTACCAATTCCCAACTTGTCTATCTGTATCCACGCTCCTGGGTCTTTTGGCCTCTGCTGTGTTGAGTGGTGTTGGAGTTGATTCATAACTTGACTAGTAAAAAGGCTTGTCTTGCAGCACTACATTACTAAATGTCCTTAAAGGGTACGTTGATGTCCGAGTTCCACACCCTGTGACATAACTGATGGTTTTGCTGGTTGTCACTCTTCAGGAGCGTTGCTCATTTTCCAGTGTCAGTTTGTACTTCCCTCCAAGTGCTGGGCTTGTTTTGCTTTGTAAGATGCACATTTTTGTTTGATTTGATTTTCTGTTGTTGAGTTTATTCCTGAGAAGAACTTGATAACCCTCATGATAGTCCTGTTTGTTCACACTGGGAATTGGTTTGTAGGATGAGTAAGTATAGCATTGTTTTCATACGCTGTTACGCTATATTTAGGAAGTGCTGAACTGGAGGGTCATCTGCAGCAGTGTGAAGCTGCTTCATTTTCCTCCCTTGTAGCCTGTATATCCTGGATAGCTGGTGAGCAGAGGCTGAACACTGATGTGTGAGGCACTAAATAGTCTTGTGCTGGAAACAATTTTTGGAAGCTACTGACCAGAGAAGCTTGTTAAGGCTGAAGTTCTGTTTGCTTGTTTGTCCTGTGCAGTAATGAGAAACTGAAGTGGATAGGGAATTCCATTAGTGATATATCTGCTATATGGTTTGCTTTGCTAACGTCATGGTTCATTGGACCTAAGTAGCTAGTAAACCATTGTTTGGGTTTTGGATTTTGTTGGTGGTGGGTTTTTTTTGTTTGTGTCATCCCCCCGCCCCCAATGATAAATAACAAAAGGATTGTTCAGGCAGTAATGCAGAATGCTGCTGGTTGCTCAGCTAATACCGCTATACGGCTTCATTTGCAATGTTATCTCTCAGGACTGGAAATGGGATTGAGGTATACTCACTTGGTGACAGTGTAATTCCCTTCTATGACTTGTAAAATACAGTGCGAAGATTGGGTTTTTTCCATCTTTGAATAGATGACTGTGGAAGGATTTACATAGGGGTTGTTTTGGGAAAAGAGCTGTTCTTCAGCATGCAAGTCCCCATTTAGTTCCCTTTTGTTAAATATACAGAGAAACTTCACGTAAACTTGCAGCTTATTGTCTTTACTGTCTTTTTTTAAAGTGTAAAATAAAGTGATTTCAGAAAGATTTAAAGTTATCTGTACCAAGGAAACCAAAACACATAAACCTTTAAACGTTGTTTCCTGATACTAAAATTAGAGTTTCAGTTTCCTCTACTCAGGTTTTGGCTTTTGATATTTTGACTGTCTGATAGACATATCTCAGTTTCCAGAATTACAGTATTAGCTGCATTTTAGGCAGAGGAATTGCTTACAGAAATGCAGATGGTGATAGTAATTTTGGATCCATATGTTACTTCTGGTATTTTCCCTCTTTAGCAGGCTTTCCGTATCATTAGGTTAAACTTAGTTCTCAAAACAACTTAGTTATACAACAAGGTGTGGCCTATATACATCTTTTGAGGCTTGTTCCGTGCAGGCCTAATGGTGGTTCGTCAAAGGCAAGTGATTTTAGTAATTGAAGTGTGAATTTGACCCCAAAGCGCTAGGCCGTGTGTCCCAGAAGTGCGTATCCATGGTTTACTGTCAGAGGACTTCAGTTACAGGTAAGAATGTTCTCACTTTAGGTCTCTGGCTGTTGTTTAGAACATAAATTTTAGGACAGATTGGTTAGACAAAACATCTATATGTGTATGTGCAAGGTGGTCTGACTATCACCTCTTTCTCTTGCTCTCTTTGTTTTTGAAGGTCTACTTTGTGAAAGTATTTTTCTAAGTTCTCTTTTGCTGTTCTGTTTCCTAAACGCATTTCTAGAGTAAAAACTAACAATAATGCATTCATTTTATTCTGTTACTGTGTTGAGAGAACTATTTTTCTGTGCCTGGTTACCTGTATTCAAATACTGTAGATGTTGACTGTGTCTGAGCTAATGAAGTCCTGCACAGTTACTGCTTGGTATTACTGTACATACACAACAGGGCATTTACTCACTTCTTTGATTTGCTATTAAGGACTAGGATGTCTCAGCTCTCTAATCTAGAGAGGCAGAGTGACTTACCATCTCCAAACATCCTTTTCCCTTTCTAACTGATCTGAGAAGAGTTTTCAAACTGTTAGTATCAATTTTTCTCCCGTTTTGCTTTCCTGACATTTATTTTCCTTTATATGCAATTTCTCTGTCAGGTACAAACAGTTGTAAACTCTTTGAACCTTGTTGCCTGTAAGGCTGATAATATAACAAATTAGATTTATGGGGAGGTATTTTGATGAAGGATAGTTAAATGTGGGGTGAGAATGAGGAAGTTTTATGGTCACCCTTCTTCAGGTCTGAAATTGCATCAGCAAGCTTCAGGCTAAGTATGTGTTAAGATGATTGCATTGAGATTGCTTGTATTCATAAGTTAAGTATTATAAAAGTAAGTAGAGTGTTAAGAATGGGATGCTTGTAGAGGAAAAAGCGTTGAAGTAGCTTGTCTGAAACGGGGAGAATTTAACTAGCTTTTAAGTTGGCTTGCTATCTCTGGAGCTGTTGCTGTCTCTAGAGCTCTTCTGCAAAGCAAATATGAGAGTGGTAAAATGAAAGGATATGAGAAGCCAGGCCTATGTGATCAGAAACTTGAGTGAGCATTAATTGGGGAAAACATGCAGAAAACTACTGATTGGACTTGCAGAGGAGAATATGGTAGAAATCATTGGTTTAGGTTATCAATTTCTGCTTCATAGAAGAAATCAAATTTATAGTTTAATATATCATTAGGGAAAGTAATCTAATGATACTGTGCTATGGAAACAAGACTGGGGAGGGTTTTTTTTGTTATGTTCCCCTGCCTCTTCACCACCCCTCCAAACCTCTGACATCATTGAAGAAGAGTGATGGAATAGGAAATGAGTTATTAGCCTCTCTTGGAAAGATCAGAGAGGAAGAGACTAATCCAGAGATTGAAATGAGAGCATGGGATGCTGGGATAGATGGATTGTTATGAAATACTACCACTGTAAATACCCTTCAGAAATGTGGGCTGGATGCTTCAGTTTTAGGGTTTAGGGTGGGTTTTTTTCCTTTTTCCGTGGAGAAATTTAGTATGAGAATCTCAGATCGAACAAATGCAAGTCAAATTCTGACATTTTAGGCTGTGGTCTGATCAAATTAGTTGTACTTCAGAAGTAAGTAATTGTCAGACTCAAAAAGCTGATCAATATCAAATGTGAAAAAGCAGATATTTTATTTCTGTGATTAAAATATTTTTATTACATTTTTCAGATTATAATAACGAAGATGAATTTGGAAGAAAGTTGAGGTTCCTCTTGCAGCAGCTTCCACCTGTTAATTACAGTTTGTTAAAGTTTCTGTGTAAATTTTTAGCTAACGTAGCATCGCATCATGAAGAAATTTGGTCAGCAAGTTCTTTAGCTGCAGTCTTTGGCCCGGATGTTTTTCAGTAAGTTAGTTATAAAAGTTCATGCAGTGTTTTTATGTGAATTTGACAGTGTACATCTGTAGTCTAAAGTCTTTCCTAGTCCATGAGTAACAGTAGCAAGTACACAATATGTTTTGGGCAATATCTTTCTTTCTGTTCCTCCCTCACCCCAGTTTTGTGTTACAATTTTTGCTCTGATTTAAACAACAGCTTGTCTACGAGCTATGGCATTAGAAACCACTGATTTGATTGTTGCATTACTGTAATTATACTGAGGTTCAAATTTTTTAGAGATAGTATGTAACATTAGGAAAAATTTCTTTACTGAAGGAGTGGTCAGGCCTTGGAACAGGCCACCCAGGGAAGTGGTTGAGTCACCATCCCGGGAAGTATTTAAAACATGTGTAGATGAGGCGCTTAGGGACATGGTTTAGTGGGCATGGTGGTGTTGAGTTGATGGTTGGACTCGATGATCTTAGAGGTCTTTTCCAACCTTAATGATTCTATGATTACTATTTGTAGCAAGAAAGCAGTTCTAGGAGAAAGCTGTTAAGGTACAAATGTATACTGGGGTTTCCTCTCAACAGGAAAATACTTGAATTTTAAATATTCCTCACGAAAAGTTAATTGACTAACTAGTTGTTACTTCATCAATTTTAAATATAAAATAGTATAAAGCTTTATAATGCAGTAGTGTGAAGGCACGTTTAAAGTTCTGTGTGTTCAAAATGGATTAGGGATAATGGTGGGAAGTGTAGCCCTTAGTCACAGAAGTCATTCATAGGAGTTCTTTGAGGAAATGGTTGGATTTAGATCTTTAAACTAAAACAGTGTTGAAATCTTTAGCATTTACACAGATGTGGAGGATCTGAAAGAACAAGAAATAGTTAGCAGAATAATGGCGGGACTTCTGGAGAACTACTATGAATTCTTTGAAAATGAAGAGGAAGATTTTTCATCTACTAATGATTTAAGCTCAATAACTGAGCAGGTAAGAATATTTTAAATGGCAATATGTTATCACTTAAGTATCTATTATACACATTTATGTTTATGAAAGATATGTTGAAATGTAATTTTCTTTAGTATGTCTTTCGGTAGTTTCTTGCAAACTGACAAAACCTGGTGTTTCCTTAAATGAATTTTCTTACCATCTATTTGCTTGTGAAATTGTTGCTTTGTAGTAAATATAGCTATGCTATGTAGAAAAATACATAGGAACTAAACCAACAATGATATCCTGCCCAACATAGACGTTGTGATGCTATATAAACAGTATAGCTTTTTAATTACCTTTTTAGGAACGGAGAACTGTTTTTTAAGCGAATGCAGAACCACGCTGTTGTTGGTCTTGGTCAATAACATTTCTAGGTGTGTCTTACAGAAACATGCAGGGTCTCGCACTCCACTTGATGATGTTATCAGTCATGTTTCCCTATGCCAAAATTTTTGAATGGTGTTTCTGATTCTAAGACTTCAAAATACCATCTTGACATTAGTGGGGAAAAGTGTTGAAATTGGAGAAACAAAGTTGAATAGAATAGAAATACTCTGCGTCCTAGTATTCAACTGCCAGCATTGGCAGATTCACCTGTCCGTCTGACTGATGGTATCCATTATCGCTCTTCAGCCTTTCCTCACAACAAATTTAACTTTGTGAAGTAAAATACCATGTCATGCTGGGATAAATAGAGACGGAGAGTTGTTAGGGAAATGAAAATACGGTATGTGATACAAACTTCTTCTGTTGGCAAATATTTTTAATTCTAACAAGTCGTGGTACATAAGTGATAATGCACGGAAGAAGTACTTTTTGTATCATCAAAGCCAGGTTCATGAATTATTAATAAAATCTTGGCTCAAACCCTTCCTCAGAAATATGGAAAGATATAAACTAAATTTTCTCATATTCATTTGGCTTAAGAAATGATGTATTTTCTTTAAAGAGGAAAAAGGGTAAATAACCAGCAGTTGCTAAGGAAGGTAGCAAGAAATACTGAATTTTTAAAGCCTAACTATCCTACGAATCCCTCCTCTAGCAAGACAGGTAAGGCAAGTAGTAGAGCAGCTAGTTGCTTCCTCTTCGCTGCAGTAGACACCTCACCCATTGGTCTGGTCTGCCAAGCGTGGGCAGCAAGCTCTGGATTGAGCAGCTTCTGCTCTGCTGGCTCTTCTAGCAACCTGCTGCAGCTTTGCAGTGTTTGCTGTCTCTTCAGCTCTTTGCAGGAATATGTCTAGCACTGGGAACTGACACAGCCCTGCTGCATGCAGGAAGCTGTTAAATAAAGCTGGGCTGTAACTTCTGCAACTGGAGGCTGAGGGCTGTCGCCTGAGGTCGGGATGACTGCTCTTTAAAGTATAGTTAGTTGGTCTGTGCTCTCAGGCTTTAAAATTACTGACTTGTCTGTGGGTCATTATATGTTTTAGCAAAAGGGTTTCCCAAGTATAACAGTCTGTGTGGTGTGTGGTTTTGTTTTTGTTTTTTCCCTAAGTTTGGGGCCTGGTGGGGTGTCCTTGAATTTCGTGGTGTCTCCACCAGATGTCAACCGTGCACCTCTGTTGGGCCCTGCTCCCTCCCAGGCTGGTGCGGTGGGGTGCAGAGGGGCTGCTCTCCACGCTGGGCGCAGCCCCACTGGCAGTGGACTGGTGTGGGTGGGCTTGCCCGTGGTTCACTGGCACATCCTCTTCCAATTACAGAGGAGAGTCAGGGATAAATATGTTTCTTGCCCTGCGTGTAGTGCCATATAACATATCACGCCCCTCTTAAATATACATACCTCCTCTCTGCCTCCTGTATAGTCTTAAACTTCTAAAGTTTCAATTTTTCTTAATTCAGTGGTTTTGTTTTATACTTGTGTGGCAGATACTATAAAGCATATTTTCTTGAGGCTACTGCTGATACTTTAATTCTTGGGTTTGGAAGTTGGGAGATCAGTAATCCATCACAGAGTTGTTTTGCGAATCACAACTTTGTTGTGTTTACCTTTTTATGTTTTAGACATAGTTGCTTTTTAAAAAATGAAGGCGGCTGTATTGAATTGTCATCTAGCTGTATTGTTTTAGTTTTTAAATTGGCTATATTTTACTGCTTCAGTAAAAACATATCCTGTGTTTGGAAACAAAGAAATAAAAATAGACAAGGGACTTCACAGAAACTTCTCAATGCTCTTGCTTTTACATTTGCCATTATAAGTATTCATTCAGTACCTTAAAGTTTGGATTCTTAGACTTCTACGTTGCCTTCCATAGAAGGGTTTGAAAATGCTTCTCATGTATGAATAAGGCTACCTATGGAATAGAGGAGAATTATCTGTCCCTGTTTTATACATAGAGGAAGAAAGGTTCTATGCCTTGTGACTTCAGTGGAGCTGGGATTTTGTTGTTTCTTGATTCTGCTTGTGTTCATTTACTGCATCAAAGGTGCTTCTTTTCAGTTTTTGTCCAATGTTTCAAAAGGGTTATGTAGGTTTTTTATGATGTGGAATGTATGGTTTTACATAAAAGCAAGTATAATATTCCTGTTTTTCTAAAACTGAAAAATTACAAGTATGTTGTTTTTATACCTCTTATGCTGTTTTAATTCCTCGGCCCTCTTAGAAGAAGTTTTCAAGCCATTAACTGTGAATAAATCTTTTTATTAGATCAATGATCTCTTGGAAGAGGAGGAAGATGTAAAGCTTGAGCAGTCTGAAGAACTTCCAGAAGATGGCACAGAGAAACCTGTTGAAAGGCCAGCTGTGGTGCATCTAGATATGACAGGGAGTCTCTCGGATTCCAGGAGTGTTACAGCATCAACAAGGTAACGTTTTTATGCCTCTGAGTTTGGATTTAAAGTTTGGAGTATAGTCTGTTGTGTCTGAGAGAGAGAAGCTGTCAGGCATTTGAGATAAGTGGTGATGTCTACAAACTGAAGCTTTAAAAGTAGGTGCAGTTCTTGTAGTAGTAAAACATGGGATAAAATAACTGTTCCCAAATTCAGAAGAGGAATGCTTGTAGAACTTAGATTGGATTAACTATGGTGATTTATACAGAGAAAGGGAAAAAGGGCATATTTTAGTGAAACTGTAAAGTGGTATATAAACAGTAAATTTTGTAGCAGAAATATAAAAAGAATCTGAATATTGGTAGATGCAAACTCATTCTGTGCCATCTTTCCACCACTCTCTTTCAGTAGGAAATCCTAGGACTATTTCTTGTCACGTGCTAGTGAGCAGAGATGTGTCCTTACATGACCCTAATTCTTTTCTGTGAGAATTTGTTTGTTCAGATTTTTTTTTTTATGCCCAGTTTGGTCAGGTCTTAGATGAGGAAAGTACTTTCTTATTTCACTAGAGTACAGTGGGATATATTTCATAAACAATTGTAATGAAGACTCTGTAGATGTGATTGTTTCCTGAAAATATGCTAGAGAAAGAAAATGCCAGGGATGAAGAGGAACTATATATGACCAAAAGGACAGTGGAAAGCAAGTGGGATAATATTGACCATTAATGATTTTTAGGTTGAAATTTAGATGTTGTAGAAAGGCCTTTAGTAGGATCAAAGTGGAGGAAATTTTGAGCACTTTAAAGTGGCATTTTGTAAGGTTATATGTGAGACTTCGTAGAATGGATTGCTTGCAAAAAAACTTGATTTGAGGGTCCAGAAAGTCTCCTTAATTTGAGTTGAAATGAAGGCTCTGGATACCCTATTTTGTGAAAGTTGACTTGCTAATATATTTGTAAAACAGCTGAAGGTCCTTCTTCAGTTAATTTAAACTCTGCCAATTAAATTTATCTCGGAGGCTGATGTTTCTTTGTGATATCAATGTAGGAGTGACGTGACTGGCACCTATGCACAAGTTGAGGTTTCACTTGTTAACTGCTTTTTAGAAAAAAGTTGTTAGAAAAATGCATAGAAAGCCAAGGTCTCGCATTGTCCAAACAGGTATAATGGCTGCTGAAGCTGGAGGGACCTGTGTTACCTGCCTAAGAGCCAGGCTCTGTAGAGGGATCTGTTTGGCTGGGCTCTGCTGGTAGAGAGCTGTGAGCAAGCTTGGAAGTTGCAAAGTGTAATACAAGGAGGAGTATTGGAGTAGGAGTCAGATTTTGATTGAGACCAATACTCATAAAGGAGATGCATTAACTTAAAATGGTACTTCCATTTGAGACCTTATTTGTACTTGCTTGCAATACACAGGTTTGTTTTACTTGCTTGTAGTTACACAAGTTTTAATTTTTAAGACTGTTTACTTGTATTATATTTATTGACTTGTATTATTATATTATTTATATAGCTCTACAGCATGTGTTAGGTATGGGCATTGCATGTAAGAATTTGGAGGGAGGGGTGAGGAAGAATCTATAATAAAAGTGTGACTGAAAGCAGAAGAAATGCAGGGAAAATCACAAGTAAGTTTACTGCCTAAGACTGAGTAGTCTCAAGAATGTGGATTTCGGGTTGAAATCTGTTCAGCTGCTTGGCTGCACACTTCCTTCTACTTCATTGCAAGAATTTGTAAAATATAAAATAATTAGAGAAACATAATTCTGTTTTGTAATTTAAATTATATTTTAATAGTTAATTAACCTTGTCAGCAATAGAACTGTTTAATTTTAGTTTGAGTTAAATTAAAAAAAAAAAAAAAAATTGCTGCAATTGGAATTTCTACAGAAGTGTTCCTTTTTCCAGTTAAAGTTTTAAAACAATTTAACTATTCACAGGTATTTAGTTGCTTGTGGAATGTTTAAGCGCGGCAGTAGTGACAAACTCAACGTGTTCGAGAGTTTTTAAATCTGATAGCCTGAAGAGAAAATCATCTTTACTTGATGTTTAGGGTTAATTAAAAATTAATAGGCATTAATTATGGTTGGCATTTTACATAATTTGTGGGAAGGATAAGGAGGAATCCTGTAGAAGAAGAAAGAGAATTTTGACTGTAAAACCAGAACAACTACAGGAAATGTGTTTTTTCAAAAAAAAAAAAAAAAAAAAATTACAGAGAATGAGAAAGTTTGCTTTATTAAACTTTTAACCACTATAAATACTGTAAATATTTTTCCAAACTTAACAGCTTTCATAGTATGCATTTAATGGCCTTTTTTTGTTTTAATTTCTTGGTGTAAAAAAAAAAATTAAAAAATAAAAAAAGCAAATGTTAGTGCAGGTTTATTGGGATGTTTGTCTTGACATAGGACCTGCAGCAGCTTATAAAGGAAAGAGGAGGAGAAGTAGATCTTAAACATGGTTCTTGCAGTTCCTTAACCTGGAGTTTTGTTGCCTCTTTGCTGTTGTCAGATTTTGGGAAATGAATGTCTATATATTTTGGCCTCTTTGTGGAGGGAAGGAAAAGAACGCTGAGGTTGCATGTTCCACATGTTAAAGATTGGTTATCTTGATTCATACAATGGGGTATATGACCTTCCTTCTAGTTACTTGGACTATAACTTGCTTATAATTTTGCTCACTACCTTTTTTCTTTGCTCGTTTTGTTTGTTCTTTCTGAAACATATGACCTTCATGCACTGCATGGTGTTAATTTGACTTTGAGTTAGAGAGAGATCTGGTGAGAATGTGGAGAATCATTAATGCAGTTTGATTTAGTGGCTGCTTGGAAATGGTATTTAAAGTAAACCTGTTGAGTGATCTTTAAGGCGGTTACCCAATCAGGGAGCATTTGTTGCATTGGGTTGACATTGTGTATGTAAAAGAAAGATCATATTCTCCGTTACCAGAAGCCTTTTCACCACGGCGCTTTTGGTTTTGCTGTCCTGACTTTTGGCGAAAAGAATTACTGACTCAGCATTGCAGCTAACTTTTAAGACACGCTGTTGAAATAATCGCTTTAGAATCCTTCTCTGTCATTATTCCAAACTTTTTATCACTGTGCTTTGCCAAGCAGTATTTGCTTTACTTTTTGCAGTTCATCTCAAATATTGTCAGTTAAAAGCCTAATATAAAAACTCTTGGTATGTTCTTTGGGCTTTTCAAAATTATATGTATAAAAATATGAGATATGACAAGTAGTAAGTTCTGTTAACAGTTTGCTTTGTCTATATTAAATGCAATGACAAGGGCAAGTTCCTCACTGCTTGTGTGGTATTTTTGTTAACCCTTTTTTATTTTAATTAGCTCTGATCAGTGAGAGAGAGGCAATAATATTAACAGCAACAAAGTGAGACAAAATGCATATATAGTAAGGCTAACCAAATACAACTGCCTGAATTGCTAGAAAATATATTATTGTTTTAGTTTAGCACTCTCTTTAATATCCAGATATTTGTCCCTACTTCCATCCTAGAAGATCTGTGAACAACATGTTAGGAAAGCTTTCAAGTGTTGATTGGGCAGCTTATTGTCAGGAGTGACCTCATGTTGCAGTCTATTTCTATTTAGACTGCAGGGTTTAGTGCAGCACTCCAGAAGTACTGTCTGACAAGCAGCGTTGAATCCCAGCAAGCAGTATGCATAACCAGCAGCCAACATCACGCTTTGCTGTTTTTCAAATGAAGCATTTTTACATGAAGTGCTCATTTGGGATAGCAAAAATAATCAGAATGGCCTGTAAAGTTCTGCTGCACAGGTAAATATATGAAAGGAAAATGTTGCTTTGATATGATTGCAAGTAAGACTTTTTTTAAACTTTAAAATTATGTGAGATTAAATGTATTTTGGAGATACTGTGAAATGAAATAATGTCACAACTAATTTTTTTTAAGGAGAAATAAGAATCTGTGTACAATCAGTAAATTACCAAGAAAAACTTTGAAATGTTTTGTCTCTAATTAATGTATTTTTCTGTCTCAAGGTATGTTTTTACTGGGACTTTTTATGGGTAGGGAGTCAGTGCAAAAGGGATTCTCGGGAGTGGGTTAGCATTATGAAACAAAGATGTTTACCTTTCTGTGTCTTGCTGTGTCATGCTGCATTAAGGCTCTGTGTAGCAGTATAAATTACAGCTTTTAAAAAGTATTGTTGAACTCTGGTGCATCTGTTTGGAAGTTGTAATGTATTTTCAGCTAAGAGCGATTGACACATTTCTTTCAAAAAGTGCTTAATTGCTAAAGTGATTAGTTGAAGACGTAGTAAGAGGATTCTTCAGGCTTTGCAATACTGCTGATTTATGCACATCTTTTGCTGAGTACCTCTAATGCATCTGAAGGTGTTTAATAAAAGCACTGGTGAACAATCCTACGCTGGGGGCTGAAGGTTACGCAGCAAGATGGAAAATTTTGTTGTGAACCATGTCTGAAATCTTTTGGATTCTTTGGAGATGAGTTTGATTCTCCCCACTCTTGACACAGTTCCTCATTGTCTCAGGTGGTAGAATAAAAGGATTCCAGGTCATCAGTTTCCTATAAATAGTATTTGTACTTTGTGCCCTTGACTGAATTTTTTTTTCTCTTTTTTACAACTAGAGTGTTGCAGTGTTCTGTGCTCCGATTGCCTTCCCCCCTGCCCCCCCAATTTGTCCTAGGAGTGACTGTTTTAATAGTAAATTGATTTCAAGGTATACAATTATGTATTAGTACTTTTAAAACATAAGCATACTTTTTGTAATGCAGCTTTTGTAGAACTTACTGAAAATACTGAGATCGGATACTTAAAACTACATTTTTAATCTTTTGAAATCTTACTAGTTTTTTCACTGAGATTCTTGCTCATGCTCCTCCTCTATCTTGTTCATGAAGCTGAACTGATTCACAGCTTCATGTCTTCATTTTTTTAATTTCAAGTATTGTCAAAACAAAATGTGTTTATCAGAAAACTTACTTTGTACAAGTAGTAGGGCTATGCTGAACTTCTATGCACAGAAATATC